ACACCTCCGATGCTTATCTGAAGCATGTCGTCGCCTCCTTCCTCTTGCGAAATCAGTTCTAAATCATACAAGATCTCGCTTTCCATCTGGATTATTATTCAGGGTGAGAGAAAAAAGCAAGCCGCACGCAACACACACATATACATTTCCCAGTAGGAGAAATCCCATTGAGATAATAGTTTGCTACTCCTCATGCATCCAGGCTTGAGCATCACCGCTAACTCTTCCATTAGGATTTCCCCTGACATTAAGTCTAGTTGTGTCCAACTCCGGGGGTTGTTGCTCATCTCCATTTCTAAGCCAAAGAGCCGGCGTTGTCCATAGACATCTCCAAGGTCATATGACCAGCATGACTGCTTGGAGTGCCCTTACCTTCCCGCCAGAGCGGTACCTATTGATCTACTCACATTTGCATGTTTTCGAACAGCTAATTTGGCATAAACTGGGGCTAACATACTACTACTACTACTACTACTTTGTTATTGTTCATTTGTTCAGTCGTTTCCGACTCTTCGTGACTTCATGGACCAGTCCACGCCAGAGCTTCCTGTTGGTCGTCACCACCCCCAGCTCCTTCAAGGTCAATCCAATCACTTCAAGGATGCCATCCATCCATCTTGCCCTCGGTCAGCCCCTCTTCCTTTTTCCTTCCATTTTCCCCAGCATCATTGTCTTCTCTAAGCTTTCTTTCTTCTCATGATGTGGCCAAAGTACTTCATCTTGGCCTCTACTATTCTTCCCTCCAATGAGCAGTCAGGCTTTATTTCTTGAAGTATGGACTACTACTACTACTACTACTACTACTACTACTACTAACAACAACAACAACAACAACAATAATTGAAAAGCCAATGACAGATCCCAAATGTACACTCTGCAAGGAAGCAGATGAAACAATAGATCACATCCTGAGCTGCTGCAAGAAGATCGCACAGACAGACTACAAGCAGAGGCACAACACCGTTGCTCAGATGATTCATTGGAACTTGTGCCACAAACCATCTGCCTGCGACAAAGAACTGGTGAGATAACAAGCCGGAAAAAGTTACAGAAAATGAACATATCAAGCTTTTAAACAGAGGCTGGATGGCCATCTGTCAGGGGTGCTTTGAATACAATATTCCTGCTTCTTGGCAGAATGGGGTTGGACTGGATGGCCCATGAGGTCTCTTGCAACTCTATGATTCTAAGTTACTCTAGAACTCCTGGATTCAGACTGACAGAGTTTGGAGCACAAGACTCCTGACCCCACGATCGTGTTAAAAACAAAGTATGGATAGTTGATGTTACAATCCCAGGTGACAGCAGGATTGCAGAGAAACAACTGGAAAAGCTGACACGATATGAGGATTTAAAGATCGAACTGCAAAGACTCTGGCACAAGCCAGTCAAGGTGGTCCCAGTGGTGATTGGCATACGATACAGTACCTGAAGACCTTGGCCTGCACTTAAACACAATCGGCGCTGACAAAATTGCCATCTGCCAGCTGCAGAAGGCCACCTTACTGGGATCTGCACGCATTATTTGCCGATACATCACACAGTCCTAGACACTTGGGAAGTGTCCGATGTGTAATCCAATACAACAGCAAGCAGAGTGTCTGCTGTGGACTCATCTTGTGTTTCTAATCATCATCATCATCATCATCATCATCATCCAGCATATAGATCTCATTTGCTGTGATATACTGTGTTTTTGTGTCAGTAAAATAATAATAATAATAATAACAACAACAACAACAACAACAATCACTTATCACACAGTCCTAGACACTTGGGAAGTGTCTGACGTGTAATCCAATACAACAGCCAGAAGAGTGATCTTGTCTGCTGTGGACTAATCTTGTTGTGTATCAAATCATCATCATCATCATCATCATCATCATCATCATCATCATCATCATCCAGCATATAGATCTCATTTGTTGTGATATACTGTGTTTTTGTGTCAGTAAAGTAATAATAATAATAATCATCATCATCATCGTCATCATCATCATCACACAGTCCTAGACGCTTGGGAAGTGTTCAACTTGTGATTTTGAGATACGAAATCCAGCATATAGATCTCATTTGCTGTGACATACTGTGTTTTTGTGTCAGTAAAATAATAATAATAATAATAATAATAATAATAATAATAATAATAATCACACATCACATAGTCTTAGATGCTTGGGAAGGGTTCAACTTGTGATTTTGTGATACGAAACCCAGCATATAGATCTCATTTGCTGTGACATACTATGCTTTCGTGTCAGTAAATAATAATAATAATAATAATAATAATAATAATAATAATAATAACTTTATTTATATATTGTCTGATCTCCCCTAGGGGACTCAGATTGGTTTCCACATATGCAAAATAATACAAAGGATGATGGGATTTGTGGTACTTTCAAACCCTTTGGTTCTCACAGATCACTGTGGCCTCCAACAAAGACTGATAAAGAGCAAACTTGGCACAGAGAGCCCCCATGACCCACTCTATGTCCTACTGCAGATTGGAGGAGGATGGACCATGGATGATGGGACTTGAAGTACCTCCACTCACTTCCCGAGACCGCTGTGAACCTCATCCAATGACTGATCAAGAGCAATCTTGGTACACAGAGCCCCCATGACCCATTCTACATCCTGGTGGTGTCTGGAGAACGATGGACCATGGATGATGGGACTTGAAGTACCTCCACTCACTTCCCGAGACTGCTGTGAACCTCATCCAATGACTGATCAAGAGCAATCTTGGTACACAGAGCCCCCATGACCCACTCTACATCCTGGTGGTGTCTGGAGAACGATGCACCATGGACGATGGGACTCACAGTACCTTCACTAACTTCCTGAGAGCACTGCGAGCTACATAAATAACTGATAAAGATCAACCTTGGCACAAAATGCCAAGTCCCCAAGCTAGTCTTTAATAAAATCTGAAAAAATGTCTGTTGCTTACAAAGGGGACTGAAGATGTGGGAGCTCAGGTGTGTTTGCATCTCTCCGAACACACACACTTTCCTGGTCAAGTGGTCTCTGGAGAGGCCTCACGTGAAACTGAACTCGAGGGCTCTTCAGTACACAATGACTCCTTCCATGCTCAATGAGAGAGAAAGCAGAAGGAAAAGGAGATGGGCACTGAAAACCAGGAGGACCAAAGGGCCAAGAAACCAAGATACCTCCCCTTGACATTCCTAGGGATAAGATATGGCCATAAGGAAAGCTCCTGTAACCAACTCCCCAGTTGTTGGGAATGCTGTGCCACTAAGGCTAAGGACCTTATCACACTAGAGAATGAATCCGCTTTAAATCCGGTTTCTGTCTCCTACAGAATTCTGGGGTTTGTAGTTTAGCACGGCTGTTGAAGGCTCCTCCCTAAACTGCAAACCCCAGAATTCTGCAGGAAGCAGCAACCAGATTTAGAGTGGATTCATTCTCTAGTGTGATGAAGTAGTAAAACTACCTGAAACATTGAGCATCAGCATCCAAGATGCGTCTTGGTTAAATAATTTAGGGTCATTTACACTCTGGTGGTGCAGCAGGTTAAACCGCTGAGCTGCTGAACTTGTTGACTGAAAGGTCACAGGTTCGAATCAAGGGAGCGGGGTGAGCTCCTGCTGTTAGCCCCAGCTTCTGCCAACCTAGCAGTTTGAAAACATGCAAATGTGAGTAGATCAATAGGTACCGCTCCGGTGAGAAAGTAACGGTGTTCCGTGCAGTCATGCTATCCACACAACCTTGGAGGTGTCTACAGACAACACCGACTCATTGGCTTTGAAATTGAGATGAGCACCAACCCCCAGAATCGGACCCGACTGGACTTAATGTCAAGGAGAAACCTTTACCCTTACCTTTTACATTCAATAGAGTTAAGGCAGTTTAGTGTAACTTTACTGTAATGGTTCAATGTTATAGAATTGTGGGAGTTGCAGTGTAAGCAATGGAGTCTGAGCCCTGAACAAGCCCAGACCTGATCACATGGTGTGCAGCCCCTCCCACAACGAAGAGTTAAAGTCAAATTGCAAACCAATTCACACATATACATTACAGTAAGCAATCTAACTATACACATAGCAACCTATGTCAAATAGTCCAGTTACAATAGGATTTTAAGTCGTTTCTATGTGTAGGTAACACAAGGCATCTTTCTTAGAATCAATAGTCCTAAGTCGAAAGCATCTCTCTGTTCTGAGAGTCCAATTGAGTTTTTATAGTCTGTTCCAACTAACTTCTAAGCATACATCTGTTTCTACTGAAGTCTCTATGCATACTTCTCTATTGAAGTGTAAGCAATGGAGTCTGAGCACTGAACAAGCCCAGACCTGATCACATGGTCTACAGCCTCTCCCACAACAAAGAGTTAAAGTCAAATTGCATATCAATGCACACATATACAATACAGTATACACATAACAAACTATGTCAAATAGTCCAGTTACAATAGGATTTTAAGTAGTTTCTATGTGTAGGTAACACAAGGCATCTTTCTTAGAATCAATAGTCCGAAGTCGAAAGCATCTCTCTGTTCTGAGAGTCCAAAAGAGTCTTTATAGTCTGTTCCAACTAACTTCGAAGCATACATCTGTTTCTACTGAAGTCTCTAAGCACACATCTCTACTGAAGTGTAAGCAATGGAGTCTGAGCCCTGCACAAGCCCAGACCTGATCACATGATCTGCAGCTCCTCCCACAACAAAGAGTTAAAGTCAAATTGCATAGCAATACACACATATACAATACAGTAAGCAATCTATACACGTAATAAACAACTATTTGAGGCTTGAGAAGGTTGTTATTTCCAACAAACACTAAAATGCTACATCGTGCTGCCTTGAAATACATTTTTACAAATTTCATCACTGTGGCCCATTGCTGGCATTGCCCAAAAGGTGTGTAGGCTGAATTTGGGACTCACAGACACAACCAATGGATAACAAGGATTCTCACCCAGCTTTCCAAACTGCCCTTTCATTGACCCTCAAGGACATCCATGGCCATCCTTACCTTTCGATGGAGAAGCTGAGCCTGGGGTCCCCCGCCACCTTCAATCTCATACCGGACGCTGTTGAAGAGCGCGACACCAAATTGCTCCTCGTAGAAGCGGCAGAAGTCGGCAAGGACCTTGTTTGTTTTGTCTGGAAAACAAAAATAAAACAGACAAGGTAGGTATAGAGAAGCAGCGGGTTGTAGTGGTTGAGACTAGGAACTCTGGGAGATGAGGCTTCACATCTGGGCTGTGGCGCCGCTAGTTAGTAGCCAGCAGCATTAAATCACTACTGACCAAGAGGTCATGAGTTCGAAGCGAGCCCGGGTTGGAGTGAGCTCCCGATCATTAATAGTCTAGCTTGCTGTTGACCTATGCAGCCCGAAAGACAGTTGCATCTGTCAAGTAGGAAATTCAGGTACCGCTTTAGGCGAGGAGGCTAAGTTAACTAATTTACAACACCACAAAAACCTTCCAGCAGCGTTCGTAAGAATGAGGAAGTACTCCATAGAATCATAGAAATGTTATATAATGTAATATAATGTAATACAATTGACTGGTTGCCCAGATACGACAAATAAATAAATAAATAGAATCATAGAATCAAAAAGTTGGAAGAGACCTCATGGGCCATCCAGTCCAACCCCCTGCCAAGAAGCAGGAATATTGCATTCAAATGACCCCTGACAGATGGCCATCCAGCCTCTGTTTAAAAGCTTCCAAAGAAGGAGCCTCCACCACACTCCGGGGCAGAGAGTTCCACTGCTGAACAGCTCTCACAGTCAGGAAGTTCTTCCTCATGTTCAGGTGGAATCTCCTTTCTTGTAGTTTGAAGCCATTGTTCCTTGTCCTAATCTCCATGGAAGCAGTAAACAAGCTTGCTCCCTCCTCCCTGTGGCTTCCTCTCACATATTTATATATGGATACCATATCTCCTCTCATCCTTGTTTTCTTCAGGCTAAACATGCCCAGCTCCTTAAGCCGCTCCTCATAGGGCTTGTTCAAAGACTCGGTGTCATAAGTGGACGGTAAAGTGGCAGCTCCCCCTGTGGTTGGAGTTGAGCATACCCTCATGAAGCCGGAAAGCTGAAATGTTAAATTGCCTCTGTGTCCGTCTATATATGTTGTATGTCTAATGGCATTGAATGTTTGCCATGAATATGTGTGTTGTAATCTGCCCTTGTAATCCCCTGTAAATGACATTTACAACCCAGGGACAAATATTGTGTTACATAGTGTTATATGAAGTCTGAATGTGGGTTTCAAGCCTAAAGTTCAATACTCCAGAACAGCCCACTTCGAGCGAAAACGACTCTTGCCAATCTCAGTGCCAAACTGGAAAATTAAAGCACTGTTTCCCTTAAAATAGTTGCAACGTGGAGATCCTGGGAGAATGTCCTTTCCCTTCCCTATCGCAAAGGTCAACAGCTTAATTTTGCTGCCCAGACAGCATTCAAAGAGATCACAATATGCCAGACTCTGACATAGACACGGCCGTTTCAGTCCCTCTAGGTTGTGACGCAAAGCACAATACAATGCTTTTTCTGGCCCTCATATAATAACTACATAACACAGTTTGTGTTCCTGGATTATAAATGTCATTTCCTAATTGGTTCTATCATAAAAACATGAGAAAAAAGTATATTGAACTGCAAAAACTTTTGTTTTGTGGGGGAGGGATATCCTGCAGCATATTTTCCTCTAGTTTTTCAGTGAGACAACAACAAACAACAACAAACAACGACACTTTATTTATATACTGCTCTATCTCCCCAAGGGGACTCAGAGCGGTTTCCAAGTAACATCATCAATACATATAGAGTAAACAACATAAAAATAAAATTAACAAAGCACACACACATATACTAGTTTTCTCCAGCACGCATTGCTGTGGCCAACCTTCACTCCATCTTTTTCTCCTTTTTTCTTTCTCTCCTTCCTTCCCTCCCTCTTTCCTTCCTTCCCTCTTTTTCTTTCCCTTCTTCTTTCTTCCTTCTCTACCTGTCTCTTTTCTCACTTCCTTTGCTCTTTGGTTCCTTCCTTCCTTCCTTCCTTCCTTCCTTCCTTCCTTCCTTCCTTCCTTCCCTCTCTCTCTCTTTCGTTCCTTCTTTCCTTCCTTCCCTCTTTCACTTTTTTATTTCCTTCTCTCCTTCCTTCCTACTCTACCTTTCTTTCTTTCCTTCTCTCCCTCTTTCTCCCTTCTTCTCTCCTCCCTTCCTTCCCCCTTTCTGTGTATGTGTTTTGCATCTGCATATATGTGTGTGTATATATTTGTGTATATGTGTGTTTGTGTACATATGTGGTTTTGTGCATGCGTTGTAATGTATTTTTTATTTTTTTGTTTTTAAAGTCTCTTCTGCTATGTTTTTCAGTGTTTTTATGAGTGTTGTTGGCCTGATTAGTGTATTGTGTCCAAATTTCATGTCAATTCGTCCAGTGGTTTTTGAGTTATGTTAATCCCACAAAAGAACATGACATTTTTATTTATATAGATAAATTAGTCCCCGGTGGCGCAGTGGGTTAAAGCACTGAGCTGCTGAACTTGTTGATCAAAAGGTCGCAGGTTCGATTCCGGGGAGCGGCGTGAGCTTCCGCTGTCAGCCCTAGCTTCTGCCAACCTAGCAGTTCGAAAACATGCAAATGTGAGTAGATCAATAGGTACCGCTCCGGCGGGAAGGTAACGGCGCTCCATGCAGTCATGCCTGCCACATGACCTTGGAGGTGTCTACGGACAATGCTGGCTCTTCGGCTTAGAAATGGAGATGAGCACCACACCCCAGAGTCAGACATGACTAGACTTAATGTCAGGGGACTACCTTTACCTTTACTATATATATATATATATATAGACACACACACAAGCTGTACCTGCCATGCATTGCTGTAGCCAACCTTCAGTCTTTCTCTCCTTCTTTTCCTCCTTCCTTCACTCCCTCTTTCCTTCCTTCCTTCCCGTCTTTCCTTCTCTTCTTCCTTCCTTCTCTATCTCTTTCCTTCCCCCTTTTTCTTTCTCTTCTGCTGTCTCTCTTTTCTTCCTTCTCTTTCCTTCCCTCCCTCTTTCTCTACATCTTCCCCCCTTCCTTCGCTCCCTCTTTCCTTCCTTCTTTCCCTTTTTTCTTTCCTTCTCTCCTTCCTTCTCTAACTTTCCTTCCTTCCCCCTTTCCCTCCCTCTTTCTCTCCTTTCTTCCTTCTCTACCTCTTTCCTTTCTTCTCTCTTTGCTTCCATGCTTCCTTCTCCCTTTACTTCTTTCCCTCCGTCCCTCCCTCTTTCTTTTCTTACTTTCTTTTTTTCTTTTTCTTCCCTCCCTCTTTCTTCCTTTTTTCTGTATTGTCATTTAGCTTTTCGTCATTTAGCTTTTGGGGGCTTTTTAAGTCCCTTCTGCTGTGTTTTTCAGTGTTTTTATGAGTGAAGGACATACATTGGGTTGTTAGGTGTTGTGTCCAAATTTGGTGTCAATTCCCCAGTGGTTTTTGAGTTCTGTTAATCCCACAAACGAACATTACATTTTTATTTAGATAGATAGATAGAGATAGATAGATAGATAGATAGATATAGAGAGAGCATAAAAAAATCACAATAGCACATATATATTTAAAATAATCCTGCCTGTTCAAGGCAATTTAAATAGAATCTCAACTAATTCAACCTAGTTTGTGCCACTGTGCTGGTACGTCTGTACCAGGAGCTCCAACTTTATTTTCTTTCTATTAAATGTTTGCATGCATTCCAAGGCTTCAGGGATTTTGCAAAAGGTGACTTCCCTTGGTTTGCAGTCATGGGGCAAGCCACCTGCCTATCATTGTTAAGTTTGGATCCGCCCCTTCTCCCAGGGACATGGGAGAAGAGGGAGCCATTTTTAGTTAGTCTTACAGAAGGAAACCAAGATATAGGATGTGGAGTAGTTTCACCCGCAGAAAAGCTTCACTTAGAATCATAGAATCATGTTGTTGTTCATTCGTTCAGTCGTCTCCGACTCTTCGTGACCTCATGGACCAGCCCACGCCAGAGCTCCCTGTCGGCCGTCATAGGATCAAAGAATTGGAAGAGACCTCATGGGCCATCCAGTCCAACCCCCTGCCAAGAAGCAGGAATATTGCATTCAAATCACCCCTGACAGATGGCCAACTTCTTAAGAATTCCAGGGAATTCCGGGGAGAACGGTCTCAAAGCTCTGGCAGGGAGCTTACAGCCTCTCAGCATCTGAGGGAAACAGCCCTAAAAGGTTTCTTAAGGAATTCCGGGGGAAAGCAGCTTTTCAGACCCAAAGAACTCCAGCTGGAGAATCTGCAAGCCTTTACTGGTAGGTCTACTCGGTGCTCAAGACGCAGTTTGAATCCGGTAGTAGAACCCACATCAGTAAAACTTAGATAGTAGACAGCCTGGGAGAGGTTAAAAAAAGGGTTTTCCTCTTAAAGTGAAAGAACAGTTAATGAAGACAGTTGCCTCTCCCTTGTGGACAAGATTAAGGAAGCCACCAGTTGACTCAAAGCCTTGAAGCATTTGTTTGACTCATTGAAGATTTGAGAAGTATCTGTTTAATTTGTTCGATACTAAAGGACTTTGTTAAATCATTAAAGACTCTAAGACAGTGTTTCTCAACCTTCCTAATGCCGCGACCCCTTAATACAGATCCTCATGTTGTGGTGACCCCCAACCATAATATTATTTTTCGTTGTTGCTTCATAACTGTAAATTTGCTACTATTACGAATTGTAATGTAAATATCCAATATGCAGGATGTATTTTCATTCACTGGACCAAATTTGGCACAAATACCCAATACACCCACATTTGAATACTCGTGGGGTTGGGCGAGGGGTTGATTTTGTCAATTGAGAGTTGTAGTTGCTGGGATTTATAGTTCACCTAAAATTAAAGAGCATTCTGAACTCCACACACAGAAGTCCCACGACTAACAGAAAATACTGGAAGGGTATGGTGGGCACTGACCTTGAGTTTGGGAGTTGTAGTTCACCTAGATCCAGAGAGCACTGTGGACTCAAACAATGATGGATCTGGACCGAACTTGGCACAAATACTCAATATGCCCAAATTTTGCATTTGGGGGAAAATTGATCTTGACATTTGGGAGTTGTAGTTGCTGGGATTTATAGTTCACCTACCATCAAAGAGCATTCTGAACCCCATCA